GGGGTTGCAAACTGATAATTTTTTTCCAGGATGTTGCAAGAGAATATATATTCAGAATATATCTTAATGGCAACACTGTGACAAAAGCACTAGCAAATAGTGTTAATCCTTTATATGGTAATATAGAATTGAAGTTACATAGGTAAAATAAAAGTTCTACAGAAAGATGCTGAGAATATCACAGACTGAACATGTGATAATTGATGAAGTTCTAGAGATGATGGAAACAAAAAGGACACATACTTATCATCAGATAGTGATAGTTGAAATTTCTAGGAAGGATAATGAAGAAAGAAGTCTGGGAAAATTTGACACTCACAGGACAGCAAGAAAAAAAAAACAATGTATAACCTACCAGAGACTAGATCCAAAGAGTTGTGAGTTCAATACCAGGCTACATCAGTGGTGGACCAAAGCTTGGAGTGTTGATTTAAAGTGAAATAACTGAGACATCCAGAAGAGGTATGGCACGTGGAACTAGAACAACCTAATCTGGTGGATGAAATAAAGGGTTCTAATCACCTGAAGAAGGCTAGAGTGTACGACAGATGAAACGTTGTGAATGCAGCAATGAAGATGAGGTTAATAGTCTGAATAATGTAAATCATAATATCTCATCTCAGAGATATAGACAAAGAAAAATAGCTTTGTCAATTTAGAATGGTTCAGAAACATTTGTTTAAGATATATCTAATGCAAAAGAAATTCATTTAAATGGACATATCATTATAAACATTGTTTCTTTCAAATTTGGTCCAATGAAAGGCAACTGTCCTTTGGCAAGTCTTTCACACAACGTCTGTCAATCACTGTTACCAAACAGTGATGTAGCATTTTATCACAATATCCGGCAATGAAGCTAAACACATAGAGAAGTGGAGACACCCTTTAATTAATATGAAACACGCAAACGGTGGATAGTGGGGAGGAGGCTCTGAAAGAAATACGTCCAATTTTATTGTTTCACCTCCTCCTCAGAGTGTCTATTATATACTTGTAAAATACCAAATTCAGTATCTGTCTATAAGGACACATGGCACAGTGGATAAAGGTGTTGGTGAGATCCAGTGACAGGATCCAAAGAGTTGTGAGTTCAATACCTGGTCAAGGCAGTGGAGAATGGAGAGTTTAATTAATATATATATTATTGTCTGTGTTTATGTGATGCTCTATATATTTTTTAGATAATTTAATTTGTGTTAGCAAACTTTATTTCTGTGTTGGTATATGTTTATGTGGGTATGTAGGTAAAAAGTTTTCCTAAATAACTGATATACAAAATCTTATAGTTTTCTGATATTTTTATATACCTAGGTACATATGTAGACTTAAGAGATATATACGCGTTAATCACTATGTGGGTTTTTAATATTGTTAATGTTTTCTTCCTCAGTAATTTTTTTAAGTACAAATAAGTTTAATTCTACCCATCTATTTTTATACGTTAAATGTATGAATGGATGTGGTGTTTTTTTACCTTTTACCTTTTAATTTATGTATATATATATATATATATATATATATATGTATGTATGTATGTATGTGCATGTGTGTATATATATGTGTATATATATATATATATATATATATATATATGTATGTATACATGTATAGATAGATAGATACGTTGTATATTTGTTTAGATGAGTGTGTGTATGTATATGTATGGATGTGTGTAAGGTTTTATGTATATATGATTGTGTGCGTATATGTGTATGTCTATGTGTGTATGCATATATGTATGCATGAGTGCATGTGTATGGATATACATATATATATATATATATATATATATATATATATATATATATATATATATATGCACATATATGTATGTATGTGTGAGTAAATATAGATATGTTGTTGTGTATGTGTGTATCTACGTATGCATATAAATTGTATTTACTTACTAGATTAAATATTTGTTAATTTTTATATGTTTATGTTAAATTTGTAACCTGTAGGTGATATTACTTGCTTTTTCAAATTTTCTTGATTACACGTCGGTTCTCATATAAATGCCCATCGTTTTTGGTTTACATCTACCCATTTTTTTTTTCCTCTTTCTCTCTCTCTCTCATTTTCTGGATTTTAAGTTTAGATTATATCATGTTTATTGTGTGTAGTGTCACCACAAATATATACACACGTTCCCGGTGTCTGTTTTTTTATTTTAATTTAGGTCAGTGAATCGGTAGCGAATTATGCATCGAAAAATAATTCATATTTATCTGTATCTCACTCATTTAAACTGTTATTTAACTCCTCTCTTTAAAACTTTTCTCTGTTAAATTTTAATCCCCACCTTCAACTTTAGGCCTTCCTCTTCTTCTTTCTTCTGTTACACCCTCTCTCTAGAGCTTTCATACATTTCCCTCTCACACTTGTTTCCCACTCCCACACACACACTCTCACTAAAATTTTGCTTTTTGTACCCAGAGTTATATTTTCTGTTTTCTTTTTGAATTTGTAGTTGTGATGAATTGGATCATGATTACGATTCCAATTTAATAAATTATAACCATGGAATGTTAGTGTTTGAGCCTTTTTTATTATATTCTTACTCTGTCCTGGACATTGAGTTCTACCTGGATTCTATCCTCTTGAAATTTATATATATATATATATATATATATATATATATATAGCTCTGTTCATTTACATGGAGTATAGTGCTTTTACTCTCAGCACTCATATATATATATATATATATATATATATATATATATATATATATAAATTTCCAATATATACACACACACTACATTACAAAAGTTTGAGGAAAGCCCTGGTAATTTTTTAAATTGGCCAAAAATTAGTTGTTTTCTATGTTAAATAAGAGAAAATCATTATAGATGGTTAAGAAAAAGTGAGGAAAGATTTTTTATTAGAAATTTTATTATGACAAAAAGAAAAAATCATTTTACGATTAAATTTTGCTCCCATCAAAATATCCTCCTTTAGCCTTGATTACTGCAGCAAAAAGTTTTGGCATTTGTTGCACAAGTTTCTCAAAGTATAAGCTTTGTAATTGATTCCATTCTTTTTCAATGACTCTAAGAGTTCTTTTTCATTTTTATTCAATCTTCCGACAAGTTCATCCCATTCTAATTCTAGGGGTCGTTTCAAACTTTTGAACAGTAGTGTGTATATATATTTTGGTTTAATTTTCTAAAACTTCTTCTGTTTAAGACAAATACTTCCCACCCTCCCCTGACCCCTGTCTTGTATAAATAATTCTAATTTCTATATTCCCACCTTTATAACCTCTTTACATGATATTAATTATAAATTATAAACTTTCCCCTACTCTAAAATCTCCCCAACTCTCTGCACTGATACATCATCAGTTACCTCCCCTTAAGATCTAGGAGGTATAAAAAGCACCCAAAATATCCGTCAGTAGACGAGTAGCCAGAGTTAAGTGCAATAAAGCTTTGGTATAAGTTTATTCTTTATTGGTTCTGTTTTTACTACACTCTCTTTCCATTAATCCCTTACATTCATTCATTTATATATTTTAAATTTATTTTGAAACCCCTTTTTATTACTCTTTTAATTTAAAATTAATATTTCATTATTCATATAACACCAAATTTATGTCATAAGGTTAATATTCAGGTTTAATTTTATAAAACTTCTTCCCTTTAAGACAAATACCTTCCACCCTCCCCTGACCCCTGTCTTGTGCCTTTTGTCTGACTGAAACATTGAAATCGATAAATTCTGTATTAGTTTTTAGACTGTTTTTTTTAGCTTTCATAGTTAAATTTCTATTTCTGCCATGAACTCAGTCCACACCAGGGTTGATATGACAGACGACTGATATTTTCATCTACTGAAATAGGCTAATCCCCAAAGGAGGTGATTTGGGATTTTATTGTTTATTAATTATTTGCTCTGTAATAATAAATACATATATGTATATATAGTAAAGATAACAAATCCATTGGTATATAATCCAAGTGGATCCTAGTAATATAAAATATTAAAACTGATCCACAAAAAGAGTTCAATATATTTATTATAACAGAGCCAATAAATAGTATTATGCAACAAAATCCAAAATTACCTCATATGCGGGATAGACCTATTTCAACCAACAAAAACTTCATCAGTCTTATTCAACCCTGGTGTATAGACTGAGTTTGGGTCAGAATTAGAAATTTAACTCCTAATCCCAACATGAACTTAGTCTATACACCGGGGTTGAATAAGACTGACAAAGTTTTCATCAGTTGAAATAGGTCTATCTCCTATATGAGGTAATTTTAGGATTTTCTTACACAACAAAAATTACCTCATATAGAATTAGAAATTTCACTGTGACAGCCGTTGAAAAATTGATACAGAATTCAGAATGTTTCAGTCAGACGAAATGCATGAGATGGTGATCATGGGAGGGTGGAAGGTATTAGCCTTAAAGGGAATTATATACACTCCTGTTTGTCAGTTAAGCACTTTAGAAGAAAGGACATTTCACTGCTGCTGCTATGATGCTAAGCTCTTTGTAGTGAACAGAGAACCCTGATATCTGATAATGCTTATATTATGAATATAATGCATTAAAAATTCCCTTTCTTCGTAGTGTGCACTTGTAACCTATTGGTATAACTCTTCAACTGATGTCAGCTCAGTCAAGTTTTGATCACAGCTTGAAGCAATAGCATGTCTAGCCACACTGAAGAGCAGTGATCTGGATGACTATATATATATATATTTATGCAGCATATCTTCATTCCAAACATGTTTCATTGAATAATATTGACATATTATGTCTATTTATTTTATAGTGAAACTTTCCTGTTGTTTAATCTGTTTCTTGATGTTAAGATGAAATTCATCAAGGAAGACATCTTCATTAAAGAAAAAATACGGCACCTTCCTTGATGAATTTCATCTTAATATCAAGAAACTAATTAGACAACTGGAAATGTTCAATATAAGAATAAAAAGCCATGTCTATATTATTCAATGAAACATGTTTAAATGAAGATATG